ACATACATACATACATACATACATACATACATACATACATACATACACTACCCCTAAAAACTTAATAACCGTACTTAAAATTCAACAAACAAATGGAACAGGAAAGAGTATGGTGAGAAAGACAGAGAGAGTTGTTGACGTGTCAGGTAAATTAAACCCATTGTCTTCTGCTCTACTAAATGCTACCCTGACCTACCCTGCTCTTTCAGACTGACAATGAAGGACAATGGAATAAGACAAAGACGTTAGAGTAGGGTATGGTAGACAACTCTGTCTACCTTGCTTCACTTCCCTACTGCATTGACACTCTACTCTAAGCCATGTTACTTGGTGATCAGTTTCCATCTAAGGTGCAGCTTCAACTTGTGTTTGGATGAACCAATTAGAGTGGTAGGACAAATAAGAGTAGAGTAGAGTAGGGTAGGGTTGGCTAGGGTAGAGCAGAGCAGGGAGAGCAGAGCAGAGCAGAGAAGAGAAGGGCAGAGTAGAGAGAGAGAAGGGGTGGGTCATGGTAGGGCAAAGCCATTGCAGCCTGAAGCCTTGATTCTGGAAAATAAAAGAAGTGTTGAGAGTTGTGTATTGTCAAGGTTGATGGTAAAGAGTATGAAGCATGAAGCGCTAAGCCAAAAGCTTGTAGTTTACAGTCAACACATTTGCAAGTAGAGAGCAGGGCCTAAGGTAAAGGGCGTAGCACACAGTGGCTCACAAAGCTTTAGCACGTTTAAGCCTACGACGCTAACCGGAAGACGTTTCTACGATTTGGGGCACATGAGCTGGGCCTACGGTTTAGCTTCGTATGCGCACACACTGTGTTCATATGGGGGGGTGGGGTGGGCTGGGGTCTAATTTCCTATGCTTGCACGCAGCCGTTTCACACACAGCCATGTCCGTCTTGCGTGACCTGCCTTTTGCGGAGGTGAACCACACTTGAGTTTACTAAGCAAGAAGTTTCCCCACCAGGCATCCGTGGCACGCAAGTTTTGGACAACTTCTAGAAGCTGTTGAAAAAGTCCATGCCCAAGTCTTTACATGCTCGTGAGATGGAAGCGGATGCCAGGGTGGTTGTCGCAACGGCTGTGGAGCTATGCCTACAGCTTTCAGTTTCGCGGGAACGCACAGGGCCATTTTTGGAAGGCGGTCGCCCGCTTGATCCGCTGAAGAAAAGAAACGTCGCTTTCGCCTCGGCCCTTCTCCAAAGCAACCGTTTCTCCCCTGTCACCCTGGCACATCACGTGCCTTTTATACTGGGCCTGCCAATACAAACACAAGGTGACCTATTAAGAGCCTATCTCTAAAGCACCAAAAACCCAGGGTTTTGACCTCTTTGCACTTTATGTGTTGCAGAGAAACGGTCGTTTCGCGTGGGGCCCCGGTTAGCGTCGATGCCATGTTTAAGGTACGGAGCTTTGGAAGAGGCCATTTGCTTTTGATTTCTTACTTTCGACTTTCAATTTCACCACTCAGCTTGTGCCAACTCCTGCGCGCTACTCTCTCCTAAAGTTTCTCGCAGTTCTTTCAAAAATGGGGTATGGGACGAGTAACGTTACTAAAGAAAGCGATGTGAACTCTATTGCTGTGGAGCAGGGTGAAGCTTTGAGAATAAATATGAGGGAGAACGAATTGAAGAAGGTTTGTGTCCTTGATTGTCCTTGTACTATTGGTTGGTCACTGTACTTGGAGTGACTGAGAGGAAGGGGTTGCGGAGGAATGATAGACACCCGCTCTATGAGCTAGGGAGAAAATCAATAATATTGAATGCAATGTTTTTTGTCCGTGTCCGTATGTTGTGTGAGTGCACCATGCGCAATTTAACATGTGGTTTGTATGGCAACCGGCTACCATAACTGTTTGTATGCCCAACAACCAAATTCAACAGAACAACGAAATGATCCCAAAAGGTCCCTGGATCGTGTATATATATATATATATACATACGTAATATACATATTATAAACAAGATCGCAACCACCAAGGTATCCAAGATGTGGATCATGGCATCGTCTAGTGTCTGTTTGTTATGTTTCTTATTATTGGTTAGGTGTTTTGATTCTTGAAAGCATTTTACAGTAGACAGTGTCAAAGACTTTGGAAACAACTCTGAAAGCAGCCAAGAGTGAAAACTCTGCTTCCAGGACTCCAGAATGTCTCTGTTTGTTTGGGAAATCGGAAGCCATGACCTGTTGATAGCCAGATTGTTGAGAGTTCAGTGGCCTCCAGCCGCCAAAACTGCAGCAGTACAAATGTTAACGGTGGATTGTGAAGGAGGGAGCAACCAAAATATCTATCTATCCTCCCCAGATTCTTTTGGCCTGTTTGAAGCTAGCTGGCAGTGGGAGCAAATAGCCCAAACCCGGCTTGATCCCACTGAAGATCATCGACTCAATGATGCATCCACTGGATAGTTGCCATCCCACTCTGGAGTAAATGGATCACTCGTGCCAGGCTCCCGGCCAAAAAAGGGCAAATCCTCCTGATACCATATGGCAGTGGGTCAAAACACCCTGGTTGACCACCCAAAAAAGAACAGAATAGGTGCCAGGTCAACCTACCTGGGTTTGGAGCTTCAGGTTTTGACCCACTGCCATATGCCGGTGCAGAACGTCCATGTGATCGGCCTCTTTCGTTTGGATGAGAAGATGGAACCTTTGGATGACCACCCACCCACTAACCGTCACTAATCCCTCTGAAAAATAACTTTATCGACTTCCCCGGCTGAAACTGGGATTTGCCCCGGTGGATGCAGCAGCGCAGCAGCTAGACCTAATTCTAAGAATGCAATGTGAGGGATCCCGTGTTGTCTCTGGGTGCCCCAACCAAGCTAAATACGGAAAGCAGACGGGATCTTGCCTTGTATCTTTCAAGAAAGTAATTACTCTTCAAAATGTTGAGAATCCCTCCACGCTTAAGTCACGCTTAAGTCCACTCACGCTTGCAGGAATTGGCCACGTGTGGCCCTGGAAGCCTTTCAGTTCAGTCAACACCTTCAGCATGATGTCTGATGAAAATCAATGAGAAAGGACGTCTACCAGGGGATGCTCACCAGCCACGCTGTGGGGGCTTCTGGCCTTGTGATTGCTCCCCATCAGCGTCGCGTTCTCTTGCGGTCTGATAGCTGAAGACACTGTGGGCCTTGCGAGACTGGGTGTGGGTGGACTGTGTACAGGACTGTATAATAGCAAACAGCAACAAAAGAAAAGACTATATATATATATATAATCGAATAGCAAACAATACTAGACCATTCTTCCTTTTATTGGTTCTTTGTTTCCAAATAGCGCTGGCATCCAACCTAATAGCAATGCAATGGTAAAGACGGCTCTCAAAAACATTCGGCTTCAAACACCATCATCTGCGAGTTGGTGACAGGAGAGGTTCTGGCCACGTCAAGAGCTGCAAGTGTGCGTCTAGTGAACAAAACCATGACCAGCGCCTCACTCAATAAAAGTGTCATGAGACTAGCCCTTATTTGAGTGTTTTTGCCACCAGTCCAACTCCATGACGGTGCAAATCGCAACGCCATGTCCACCCATCCACCGCAGCGCAGCCACCTCTGAGATCCCAGTGGACCGATTGCATGAAGGATGGGCGATTGCCGGAGTGGATCCCCCAGTGTTGCGTTCGTCCTGGGCAGTTTTGGGCCAGATAAAGGATGGAATTATACTAACATGCTAACTGGTCGGTTTTGGCCCAAAACGGCCGTCAGTGCCCTGAAACAGAAGCACCTCACAAAGAAGATCTGCAGAATGCAGAATCAAGAAATGCAGAATGCTCTGGAAAGCCAGCCAGACAGACAGACAGACAGAGCCGGTTTCCAGAGCGTGTCGCGTCTGGGGTTGTTCATGTGATCGCTCTCTCCTCCAAACCGCACACCGAAGAACAAGGGCCAAAACGGCAGATTGGTATTCAATATAGAATAGCTACGTCAAATAGACATTCATTGTTACTATATATTGAGCCACACAACCACAAAGCTAGCGTGTGCATGTTTCATCTGCTTGACGTTGTGCTGCCAAACTTGGAGACAGTGCAAAGCCGAAGCAACGGTGGTCCAACACCCACTGATTGATTGGTTTAAGGGCTGGCAAAACTGGGGTAGGAGATGGGAAAGACATGTTCAGAATCCAGATCATGACTGATGGATAAAAATGGACCAGTACTTCATGAAAGCACGACAGGCGCAACTGCTGTTCAAGAAAAAGAAGGCTTTGAAGGCAAAGAATCCTTGAAGAAATCTTGAGTCAAATGAATATCATCGAAGTCTGATTGGTGTCAACACATTCTACAAAGTGTATCTCTGAAGAAGTAGAGTCCATTATAATCGAAAACTTCGGTCTCATGACATCCAGCTTCATCCAAACTCCCGGCACTAGTAGGGCAGCGATGCCCCGCGAGCCAAGGGCCAGGCACTAGTAGGGTTGCGGCTGGGTGAACAGTTTCATTGAAGGATACTGATGTATTCTTCCTCGGCACAGCGAGTAAAACGTCGGATGCGAAGTTGAAACCATTGGAAGAACCAATCCCCAATATTGTTTGTTCGGCTGGTTCAGCTTACAGGGGCGAAGCTCTTTATTTCTCGGTTTTCATGGTGTCCTTGTTTGACAGGGGCACCCTGTCAAGAGCGTCAGAACAAGCTGACACACTGCAATGTCAGACATCCCAAAAAACGGCTTTGGCAAGTCGACAAAAATGAGATCAATGCTCGAAATAGTGGTTCAGTACATAAACCATTTAAACTTATGCCCTCACTCACTCAACCATTGATCGATCCATCTTGTCCCAAATCTCGGCAGTGTGAGGGTGCGATCCATCTGAGGTTTCGGCTGTCGGAGGGGGACAGCCGAAGTGTTCTGCCTGTAACGTGGCAGACGCGTGACGAGATGCGCAACGCACTCGTGAAGTCAATCCTGGCTTCTTAGACGAAACCGTTGGGCCGGGTTATGGGCAAAATGCTTGGTACAAAAGAAAGAGTGGCACCGTGGCACCTGAAAAGAGGTTTTCTTGGTGCATGAAATAGAGAGTTGCTTTGGGGAGTCAATCATTCAGCGCGAAAGCTTTGCATTTTGAAAGCGTGGACCTGTCTATAGGTACCGACTAGTTGATACTTCGGACTAGGACCTGTCTTTGTAGCAGCAATGTCTTTCCAGCATTGTCCAGTATATTAATCTTGGATAAGGATGATGTTTGTCACAGACTGTAATTGATCAGTTCGTGTTGAATACGAGCAATTGCAGGGAGTAGCAGACACTGGCCCCACAACTGAGAAACGGGGTAATACCTCTGTATACATACCATGCCAATCCTGCATCCGAGAACAATGGGTGCTAGCTGCTCAACTTGCCAATTGGCTATTATAATTGGCGCGTATTGGTCCTTTGGACAGGTTCTAGTACACTGGTATATAGGTTTAGAATCCCCACTACACATCACTACACCACGTATTGGGGGTGTGCGCCACAATTCATCCTTCTTCAGTGAACGCGTGCAGCTTTGGGGCCTGGACAGCTGCAGCATCTGGGAAGCCTTGGTGAGCACATGCTGCAATCGAATCCATGGAGTCCATGGAGTTCAAAGATTGCAAAAACAAACATGTTTTCTCGTCTCTGCGCCAGTACTACGACCCATATCGTAGAAAAGCGGTCCACAAGTATTGATACAGTTCAGAAAGCTACGATAGAAGGGAACCACCCAAATGCTCAATACTAGCACTTTGTTGGGCCATCACCTGAAATTCGAAAACGCGGGATTACCATGTTGCTTTTGCTGTTTGCAATTCGGTGCCCTAGTCAAAAGGTCTCACACCAGCCAGACTGACTCTGGCTTAAGCTCGGCAGAGCTAGCAATAAGCTGTCAAAAGCACGACGGGTATCGATTTAAAACAAAATTGCAAACGTACAACAAAGGCCTCTTCCACACGTTGGACAACAAGATGCGATCGATTGCGATCGCAATGACATAGATCACTTGCGGTCCAAGCAGAGACATTCCGCGTCGTCATCCAGACGCTTCAAACACTAAGACGTCAGTCGCTTATACTTAGTTTCCGTCATTTGCGCTGCGGAAGGTTGGCGGCATAACGCTCATTACACTCTCTATGTCAGCATATTGTGCCAAAACCTGGCAGATGTTGGTTATATTAAACAATTAGGCGACAGAAGACCAAGCAAATCCGCCCCTCAATACTGATGCAGCAATATCAATAAATAATGATGGGTGGTTTCTTAATATTCCTGAAGCACTGATCTAAGAAGTTGTTGAATATCAATGGGAATTGCGAATCCAAATATCTGAAATAAACTATTCATATACAAATCTCCTGTAGTTGCCATGCACTTTTATGCGGCTTTGGTAGATAAACACGTACATTGCGCACAAGGGGCTATGTCATGTCTCTGTTATTGCTAAACCACCCCCGGTGCCCGCACATACAATGGTATACAAGGGATGTTTTGGTGTGTGTGGTCAAACGTTGTGCGAGCCTGGGACCCTGTTAGCCGCTTCTGCGACGCCGGCTTGGAGCCACCAGGTCACCAGCTTGTGCTTGCCACTTAAGTTCTTCTATCCCCCCAACTTGCACAAAAAAAGATAACAAACCACTCTCCATGCAGGCGTCTACAGGCTGCCCGACGTCTGCCTCCTCGCACCCATGCTGGCAAACCTGTGCAAGTTCAAGGTGCTCAGAAGCTTGGGCATGACAGGGAACCATTTGGAACAATGGGCTCAGGTTGCTACCCCAAGCTGTGGCATCCTCTCACTTGAAAGAAATACGTCCCCAGCTTAAAACATCTGACGTGGCATCCAATCTGCACTTGAAAAATCAAATATATATATATATATACACATAATGTATGTCTATTTGTATATACGTATATGGTTGCCCCCTGGTACCTAGGGTTCAAGCGCAAACCAGTGCAGTTTCACAACTCAAAGGTAGGATGAGGCGCCTCATCCCAGTATGAACTCATATCATTGTAAAACTGTACCTCTGTTTGCCTCCCATGATGTGGAAACCGCGTCCTAATAACATCCACGAGGTGGTGGAGGGCCTGGTCTGGTTTGCTCAGAAGTCTTTACTATGGCTGAAGACACCAACACTTTGCTGTTGGGTTTCAAAAAAAACAAGCCTCAGCCTGGATTCGACTGCATCATAGGTTTGATGTCTTTGTGCTTTTACTTAAATTACCAAAGTCGTAGGTGCCAGGAGGGTGCGTTCCCAAGGATAAAAAACAAGATATATATATATATATATATATCACCCATCAGACTGACAAAAGGGTGTTCGCAGTAGCCCTAGCAACCATAACACGAACCGAACTTCATTTCACAGACGAGGTACCTCACTACAGCCTTCGATGACGGGTTCGTTCACTGTAGATTTCCATTTGGATTCCATTCGAGTCCCATTTCTCACGCACATACTCCTTTAACAATCCAACGTAAAGAACTGCTGACATGGAAGAAATCGCAACAAAACCTTGAACAACTACTGCAACATTGCATCAATCCCACGGTGATCATTCTACTTCAGGTAACGCAGGATACTACCCCTTCAACAGCATTCTCACACTGGGTAAAGTCCCTACCCGTGCTATGAAGATACTGCTGCTTTAAAATGATTTTAATTGTGATCAGTTGTGGTTGCAATCCTACACCCAGGACCCTTCCCAGTGGGGTGGGGCTCCGAATCCTTTCCTGCACGATCCGTGGGACAAACGTGCCTCTGCCGAAGCGAATGAGCTAAGAAACCAAAGAAACTTGAATCTCCTGGGCGGATTCCCTAAGGACGTCATCTTCAGAAGACGTCAGGCGCTTCAAAAAATGGGGAAGCTGGAACTTTGGTGCAGTTTCCAGTGACTCCAACGGTCTTACGCAGTGAATTTGTTGATGGAGGATTTCTTTTGGCCGAACCCAACAGAAACAAGACCTGTGTTTGCGTTTGTCCGGTGGTGCCTTTCAACCAGTATACATAGGCCAAAGCACAGTAGGGCCAACCCAGGTAGGATCTTTATTCTGGGGAGTGGGTCAAAATAGCCATAGTCTAGTGTACGTGTGCGTGATTGCGACCGGTTTTGGATTCAAAGGGCTGCCAGTACACATGTATGTGTGAGTGAAACGCTGGACATGAGTGCGCGCATCAATCCTACACACTCGTCTTGGATCCCTTGAGCAAAGCTCTATGGGTCTGTGCATCCTCTAGGGTTCTGATCTATGGTAGCCTTGCACTTCAATCTTGCATTCTCTGCATGACGCCCCAACTTGTCAATCTTCGTTTGCAGCCTTCTCCACAAAGCAACCTTTCATTCCAGCTCAAGATTGGAGACTCGAGGCCTCCCTGTATTGTTGTCTCGCTGGTGGGGTTCTTGAAGGCACTGCTCCTGGAGTGGCTGCAATCAACATGACATCTTTCCTTCATATTGCCCATTAGTGCTTCTCATGTCTCCCAAGCTAGTTGGCCGCATTCCCATGAGCAATGAGCTCATAAGCTCTTATCTGCATAAGGTCAACCGACTCTTCTTCCACAAGTCCTCCATTCAACACAACCGCGTAATCTCTTGACACTTCAAGCTCTTGGTCATTTGCCAACAGGGTCTCCTTCATCTTGTTCAGTCTCTCTCTCCAGCTGTCTACTCCGGTTGCCTAAGGCTGCTTCGAAACTCTAGATTGAATTGTCCTTCTCTTGAATCACGGTGTTATTTCCTTCTTCAACCATACACTGCAACCACTGGCTGCAGTCCCTCAAATGAAAAAATTCTCACCAACCTTGCCACTTGGTTGATCTTTGGAGACATGTTCCTTCTCTCTTCAACCGCTTGCTTCTCAGCCTCTCCTACGCTCTCTCCATCTTCATTCTTGCAATAGCCTTATCAGGCCAAGCAAAGGCGAATCCTCTGACCTGTCAGCGCTTTAGCGCGCAGGTCAGCCAACTTGAGCCAGCCAACTTGAGGTCTGTTGGCACCTGGCTCAAACTGAAGTCCTTTCGGCTTTGCACCCAAAAGAGTTTTCCATCCAAGCGTCGTATCTGTCAAACTCCTCACCTTGCTATCAACTGCCTTGCGAGAAAAATTGCTGATCTTTGTTACCAAAGCAAGATCAAGCACTGTCCTGGCGTTGATCCCCATCAGCTCGTCCTCGGTATTGGAAGTGCTTCTCACGTCCTCCAAAGTTGGCTTGGTATTCCCAGGAGAAGCACTTGAAGTTCCTGCAGGTGGCTAGGCATGCACGCTGGGTGTTGAGTCGTTTCCAGCTAGCGAAAGTGGCACGCATGCCTCCCATGCGTGCGTGCGTGCGTGCGTGTGTGCGCGTGCGTGCGTGCGTGCGTGCGTGCGTGCGTGCGTGCGTGGCCGGGCCCCCGGGCCCGGGCCCGGGGCCGGGGCCGGGGCCGGGGCCGGGGCGGTGCGGTGCCGTGCCGCGCGCGCATGCGTGCGTGCGTGTGTGGGTGGGTGGGTGGGTGTGTGTGTGTGTGTATTGGAGTCACAGCGATCCTGTCGGATTGTCTTGATATTAAGCAGGGGGCCCATCGACACTTGGATGGCATGGGCCAACGAAGACCCATCCAAGCTGTCGTGAAAACATACCTGCTGTGGCACACTTGGGCGCATAATAAGACGCAGCTGGTGGCCACCTTTCAAGTTCTAATTCTGCAGACTTGCACGGCACTGCGTTTCCTTGTCGCGCTTCCGCAGTTCGAGCTCGTGGGCTTTGAAGGTTTCTTGGAGGTTTCATCGTGTTGCCAACCAACCTGAACTGAACCCTTAGGCGGTCACACCTAGGTGTGCGTCTGGCATGTGGCATTCGAGTCCGTACGCATGTCTATAAGTGTGCGTGTGTCGATCTAGAAGACCCGAATTCTCTTTGTGGACAGCCTGGGTTGGTTGAAATTTCCTGAGGCCTTTTATCCTATCACTTGAAAGGGTCCATTCGTGGGTACTGATGCCAAAGCCTGGCATAATCTCCACAGTGGAGGTCTTGCATGACCGGCATGTGATGATACACACCTAAATGAAAAATGGTGAATTCCCTGCTTACTTGTTTGATCTCTTCGAGGGAATACATCGGCAACAGCCTTTAGGCAATCCACAACCGCAGCATGATTGGGCCATCCGCACATATCTCATCGCCCCGCCGACCTGCCAAAAAACAAAAGTCAACTCCATTCAATTCCTACATCTGAGTTCCATCATTGGATCTCCAGAAACTTCTAATCAAATCGTTCCAACTTTTCTCTTCAGCACTACTCCAAAGATCTCCAGTGTTTACGCCACAGTGAAACCTGTCAGCTTGCAGAACACATTCCCAATCACCCCTGTCAGCGGCCTGTTTCAGTAAAGGGATAGGACGTGAAGTTAGCCCCAATGGGCTTGAGCCACAGTTAGAGCCGTGTCTTTCACTGAATTGACGAAGTGCCCGACTGCACGCATATGCACATGTTAGGTGTAGTTAAATGTAAAGTGTAGGAGTTCCCACACGAGTCAGCAGGCTGTCCAAAAACCCAGCAAACCAAGATAGCTACTTTTCTGGGATGTTCTCGGGGTAATGGAGTGATCATTGCTTTCACATGGAGCTCAGAAGATCCTGTAAGATTCTGTCAGATGCTGAAATTGACCAAGGGTGTTGGTCTGACCACCCACAAAAAAAGCGTGCCCTGAGGTAAGGCGGTAGTAGAGCTCTTTTTTGCCAAAGGCCTTTGCTTGCTTGCTGCGTCTCTCGACGTGTCTTGTTGAGATGAGAATAAGCACGGATCAGAGAGAAGATATGTCTTTTCGGAATTGCTCCCGTCGCATGGGCGTCCTTCAGATTCAGCTTCCTCCAACTAGTCATTACACTCACTAATAACAACAGTAATAATAATAGAAGAAGGCAATTCTACAGCCGAGGCTTGACCTCGAGACCGGAGTGCTGGTGCGAAAATTCGCTGGTCTCAAAGGCTTGATGGCTGTCCGTTTCACCCAGATGGGAGCAATCCCCTCCTAATTCCCAGGTCAAAATGGTCGCCATTTCAACCGAAACCCGGTGTCGCCCCCGAGGGCCAATTGCTTTCCACATCATTGGTTGAACGCATGGCGTTGGGGGCTCTGACGGTCTATAGGGTCTACACTCCACAAATCAGGTGCAACGCAATCCATTTCTTTTCAAAGTATTGGTGACCTCTGCGGAGTTGGTTCCAGTATCTCGCTCAAATCCACCTGAGCAGCCAAGCTGCTAAGTTCTGCAGGCCTCACCGTCTGGATGCGTTGAGGGTGCCTGCAGCGAGTTGACGGGTGTTTGTCCTCCTGCGAGTTGTTGTATACTTCCAGGTGTCTTTGAAATTCTCTCAATTGAATGTTTTGTGCCACTCTTCGTTCAGCCCAAAAGAGTGCTTCTTGGCAAAGTCTAACAACCCAAGTGCCTTACTATATCTAAAAATACCTGAAAGTTTGTCTTCAGCAAACTTCTGCCCAAACCATCGCCATGCACAAGAAAGAACCAACGAAGCCCAGGGCGACATCCAAAAGCAAAACAAGCTAAGCAGCTAATCCTCTATGGATTGGACACACCCCTAAATGTCTTCACTCCAAGCAACAGAATCACTGTTGTTTCCACAGAAGGCATGAATTGATGGCAAGGATCCTTGATGTCACAGCGAACTCTGCATGTGCATCGCGACGCCTCCCAGGGTGTGGCGTTTCAACGCCGAGACCTTGGATAACGCATGGGCCTTGGCACGGCTTGGCGGCTTGAAGCATGGACCTTTGTTCCAAGCAAACCCCAGAGTTAATGGCATGGTTGGAGGTTGGGGGAGTCAACCTAGACCGTTTAAGCGTCAATGTGCGTGAGCAAGCTGTGGCTTTGGAGATGCTCTCCTGGTGGCTGAGTCCACTCAACAATCTCAAAACTCGAAAACCCCCACAACACAAAACAGCCGTTTTCCGTACTTCGTTGCCCAAGCGCACATGTGTCCACCTGTCTTTTGCCTTGTTTGCCATCGGAGATTGCTAGAAAAAACCAGCTCCATAATGAGGTTTCGCTGTCTCGTTAGTATTATTCTGCTTCCCCAGAGATACTACGAGTAGTTGCCCTACAGTTGCAAGGGTGACAGTTTGGATACGAACTTCCTACATTTCATTGGAGTCAAAAAAACAATATATATATATATATACTACCCCAAAAAAATGTCTACCTTTCTATATAGTTGATTCTATGTTGATTCCCAAAAAAATGATTAACTCTATATTAATATTAATGTGATTCTAGTTCAATGCACTTTTTTGTTTCAGCTATTTCAAATCTTATACCATTCAATTTCAGTTGTTTTACAATTCTAGTTTAATTCTAGTTTGATTGCCAATTTAATTTTGTCTAATTCAAATTTTATTTGAACTCGGTTCTAGTTCAATGCAAATTGATTTCTAATTCAATACAAATTGAATTCTCCTTTAATTATGACTTTATCCTAGAAAGAGGGTTTTGCTGGGGGTGCGATTGTAAGAAAACAACCTTTAAGAAAGCAACGCATAATTGACATCCTGAATGACCTAATTCTAGTTCAATTCTGATTCGAATCAAACTCAAATCTTTTAAATCAATGTTGATTCTGTTTGTGTTATAATTCAATTCAGTTTTAATGTTGAGTAACTTCCATATATAGTATGTTTGAATTGGAATTCAATCATGTTTTTCTAGTTAATGGTTACTTCTTTTCAATTTAATTTGTACACAGTTTATGTTAAATCTAATATAATTCAATTTTTCTAATGTAGTTATGTCTTTTGTGCAATTCTAATTTGCTTCTAGAGAGTACGTCTTGCTTTCTCAAAGGTTTTCTTAAAATCACACCCCCAGCAAAGTCCTCTCTCTAGAATAAAGTCAGCCTCAAAAGATCTTTTTTGGGTTTTCAGTGTGTTTTTTTGTTTTTTGGTGTTGAGAGATCCGAAACCAAAAAACACTGCGTTTTTGGAAGGTCTATTGTACTAGAACACTGCCAAAAACAAAAAATATGCGTGCATGTTTTGAGTATTTGATGTTTGCTTTTACCATGGCAGACGTTTGCGTTCAGGAAGTTTATAAGGTTCAAGACTCAAGATTGAAGATTCAAGGTTCAAGCTTTAAGATTCAAGATTCAAGATTCGAGATTCAAGATTGAAGATTCAAGATTCAAGATTTAAGACTCAAGATTCAAGATTCAAGGCCTATTCTTGAATCCAGGGTTCCAAACTCTGGATCCTGGATTCAAGTTTTGAATACAGGACTCAAGAACTTCTTTCTAGGCCTTGAATCTTGAATCTTGAATCTTCAATCTTGAATCTTAAATCTTGAACCGTGAAACTTTAATCTTGAAAGTTGAATCTTCAATCTTGAGTCTTGAACCTTAAATCTTGAATCTTGAATCTTAAATCTTGAACCTTGAATCTTAAATCTCGAATCTTAAATCTTGAAAATTGAATCTTGAATCTTAAATCTTGAATCTTGAATCTTAAATCTTGAACCTTGAATCTTCAATCTTGAGTCTTGAACCTTATATCTTGAATCTTGAATCTCCAATCTTGAATCTTAAATCTTGAACCTTGAATCTTAAATCTTGAATCTTCAATCTTAAAATCTTGAATCTTGAATCCCCTCTCGTTTGCAAACGTTTGCAAACGTTATTTCTGAATTTTGTGCTGAGTACAGTGTGGAAGGAGCATTCATAAACTTACTGAACGCAAACGTCTGCAATGGTAAAACCAAACATCAAATACTCAAAATGGTGGATACACTGGGGTGCCGAAAGTTCCGCTTCTTGATCTCTAAAACGGGACAAACCCCTTCCCCTTAGAATCCTACGTGCAACATGTCGACACCTAGGTTGCGGTCAGACACCTAAGTTGCGGTCAGATTTCCGCACCTGAAAGCCTTATCAGTATGAAAAAATAAAATGGGTGTGGAAATCTGACCGCACTGTACCTGCCAGGCAACATGGACGCGCTAATCCGATCCGCTGTAGACCGCAAGTATCATGTTGGAACAGAGTAAGAAGCGTAAGCTTGATGTGTTTCCTTTCATTTGCTATTGCTTTTCCAATTGGGAAGTGCTTTGTTTTTGTTAGATGCTTTATACTCCAATATATGCATAAACACTGTAAATACTAATCAAAACCAAAAGAGGTAGACATTTGGGGGGGGTACTCTATATATATATAAATATATCCGGGGAAGGGGGGGGGACGAAAGCCAGCAGCCGCGAGACGAGTGTCTCTTTTTCTGGCGGGCGTCGCGGCACAAGACACATGGTCGGCAGCTTGCGAGTCAGCAGCGCCGCGGGTGCGGGGGGGCATGTAATGGTGATGGAGGGAGCAGAGAAGCAAGCCGGGCGGCTTTGGGATAAGTTTGGTATGAAAGAAGTAGTGAAAGAAAAGTGCGATATGTTGTATGTTGGTGTGGGTCATCATCACAAGGCAATGGCATGTGTTTGTCACACGTCACACGCAGGAAGGTATGCATCTTATGGAAGTTGGAAGGCGACAGCAGCGCAAGCAAAGGGGAAGCACCGTCTGAGTTTAAGTGGTGGGATACCACGCGCGCGCGTGCGGCTCGCGCGCAAGGCATGCGTTTTTGAAAAGAAGCAACTATGTGTTTGTTACATTTGGAGTGATTGAAGTTTGCAATGCATACTGCGCCACGTCGAAAAGCGGCATTCGTTGATTTGGAAGAGTGAACGGGCACGTCTTGGCCGGGACACGGACTTTTCATCTCGCGGTCTCTCTATCTCTCTATCTCTATCACTATCTCTCTATCTATCTCTATCCATGAGTCAGTAGTATATAGAATTTATCTATCTATCTGTCTGTCTATCTATCTGCACCGGCAAGCCGGAAAAGCGTTCGATGCGTGTGGACGCCGCAAGAAGCATCCACTCGACCGAGGACATGGTGCAAGTATAGTTTTTGCTCGGGGGCAGGAACCCTATGCGTCTATGTAGTCAACCTCGCAGGCATCCCCACCGAAACTCAATCCAAATCAAAGTCGTGGACTTGAACTCATGTCACTTTCGGTTCTCTATGGGTTTCGCGAGTAACGGGTTGTCCTGGGTTGTCCTGGGAACGCGCCTCCTACGCGCGGCGGCGGCCATGGGTGCCTGTCTCCACTCGAGTGCTCAATGCCCGTTGTCCAAATAGCCTCCAAAGCACTACTCGGCGTCCATTGCATCACTCGCATCACCAGACCCCATTTTCACTGCTTTTCTGACCCTCGCTTTGGAGCGCTCTCCCCCACCAAGCTCCGGGCTCACCCTCTCAAAATGTCCCTCTCAACAACACCCTCCCCCCCCCACACCCCTAGCTTTATTCGCTTTCGAAGCTCAAGCCTAGCCTATCGGCTGGCTGGCTTTCGTAGTTGTGATGCATTCATCTCA